TATATATTCTTTTATTGCAATGACTTAGGCTACGTGTTGATGCTCTGTCCACAATCGCATCCACAGAGTGAGGGACACACTACCATGGAGAGAAACACACATACCTGAGCAGAACCAGAGTGCGACTTGACAATGGAGATGGGGCCTTAGTGCTCAAAGTTGGAGATGACTCTCAGTTACTAATGCACCAAATATTAGTTAGTTTTCAATGACAGTGAAAGGATGTGGTGACCCTGATGAAAGGCATCAGTAGTTCCAAACCTTCTGCCATCACGACCAAGTAAACAAGTCTTCAGACCTAATGTACCTCTGTGAAATCTTAATTAATTCCAGAGCACAAGAAGGTTTCTGTGACACAAAGAACAACGTATTGCTTAATTTTGCCTCAGCAGATGATTCCCTTTTGGTTGGTTTTATATTAACACGATCTGAAAGTGTGACTGTGCGTCAGTAAAACAAGTGCACTGGTTTATTTTCTCATTAGAGCCTTCATGAAAAGCAGCAGGCAGAGACGGAGGTGTTAGTTGCTCTTGGATGCCCCGGCCCTGCACAGATGAGGTGTTATAAAGCCCCAATTCACCACAACACTTTATTGTGAACTAATCGTCTGGCTATGATGAGATAGCTGTGGCGAAAATGTGTGTGTGCTTGTTGATGTGTAGTCTATGACTTTGTTTTTTTTTTTTTTTTTGCAACTATATGATGACATGTGTTTTACTTTGTATTTATTTCCTTCATGAGGGTAAGGAGATTTTGTGAAAATTCCATTCAGGATTGCATCGGCTAATCAGCATCACTTGTGTTTCAGTTTGTAATGCTTCAGCAAGGGTTACATCATTACGTGGGGCAGTTGAGGAGGAAACAAAGGAAAGAGAACATCTCAAGGGAAGGATGCGGTATGAGCCTTTCAAATAAAGTCATGTTGTTGATGTGCACTTACAGATTTGATGGAATCCTTGTCAACTTTGGCTTCTGTCTCCCAAAGATGGTGCCCATCTGTGGACACAATAAAAAATATACAAAACTTAGTATGACTTATTAGAGGAAATTTGAAGAAGACAGTCAAAGAAAAAAAGAAGTGCATCTTGGCACTATGTTCTGTGAAGTACCATCGAAACAGAATAATTACAGCAGATAACAGATCATCATAGTTGCTAGATGAAGTGTTTAACAGTATTAATAAGCCACTTTAACAAGGGTATAATGAAAACACAAGACCTCAAAAACTACTAATTAGCTTTATATGATTGCTGCTTCTGTCAGATAAGGCAAAAAAGCCATTACCAATAATAGCATCTTGTTTCATCTCAGCTGCACACAATATCAGATGCAGAACAAGTTATTGTTGTAACATTACTTTCTTACAGCCACATATCTTGATATGTCATAGATACACAAGGCAGAGACTCAAACTGAGATGGAGAAATTCATATCTATTAAATTTGAGTCAAAAAAAATCTTGATGAAAGTTTATATATTTATCTTGTATTTATTGAAAGTATTATTTTTCCTCTTTCTTCTTGTTTCTGTCTTGTTGATATAAAGAGGTTTCCCTTCACGCCATGTGATCTGCAGCAGTTGCAGGGATCCCGCAGAAGCTCAGCTCATATTCTTTACGTTTTCATGCCTCAAATTTTTTTGCACAGATGCTCTGGATTCTGCAATGTCAGTCAGCACTGACCACATGCACACGTTTTATTTCTGATTTTCTATACAACTATGACCCACTGAATCAGCTGTGTCAGTGGCGCACTGTGAGGTAACAGGGTGGTTAGTGTGCCTCTGCTGCTATATGTCAGTGAACAAAAGCAACAAATTTACACTATGATGTGTTTAGAACTAAAGGCAGGAAGCCATCAGATAAGATGAGCCACAACACTTTTCAAATTACTGTTATGTAGTGTTCAGCAGCTCTGGTGGACTTGTTTTTTTTCTCTTTTCCTGAATGGATTATGTTTTTTACATCATGTGGTGAGAGAAAAAGTAAAGGATTCCAGCCATGCTTGGATGAATATTAATGAGATGTGGTAGAGGGGGCGGGTGGTCAGCTTTATTATACAGGAGTGAACCTCAGTAGATCTATTTTTCCAAAATGGCCATATTAAATGAAGCAGAAGACAAAACCAGACAGAGAGATCAGACAGGAGGTTTCTATTTGAACTTGGGGAAATCAAGAGTTACATATGGAGAAGTGTGCCTCGCTGATGAACAAAATGACTGGGGAGCAGTAGAACGGTTATGCCTGCAGAAACACCACAAGGCACAATAACATGCATGTGGCAGGTGATTGAAGTGCATAAAAGAACAAGACGCATGCAATGCTGTGAAGCTGAAAAGAGAAGGGAAGGGCAATTAGAGGCAGAGAGAAGGTCAAAACAAGGGAGAGAGAGGCGGAGACAGACAGAGATGAGCATTCCTCATGTTACGTCTCAATGAACCAACAGGGAATCTCACCCGCCCACGCTCTGGGAGATACTCCAAGAGGGAAACCTTAAACTACGACATCAACCCTGAGCTCCACTAGTAAACATGTTTTTCAAACTTTTCTCTCGCTATTTATACCTGTAAATCAATTTGTTCAAGGAAAGATTTTATTGTTCTATTTTTTATGCTTGCTTGAGTAAAAAAATTAAAAACCGAGTTTGGATTGGAATGGGGCCATAATCAGAAAGTGTCATACGACTGATAACCACAAGACGTTCCATTCACTCCTTCTTCCCTGCAACATCTGCAAAATGCTTCTGTTCCCGACAGCGCCTCCTACTTCAAAACCAACCTCCACCCACGCACAATGCACACAAACAAATGCAGACACATGCAAACACCGAACCACAATCTTTAGCTTTGTTCTGGCCTTCAACTTAATGGGGAGGGAGGCTGAGCACAAAACAACGAGCTGCAGCTTTATTTTGAAAGATAAATGAATGTACATACAAGTTTGTTTTTAGGTTTTCTGTTTAAAACTAAAGAAGCATTTGCATTGCTCTAAATGACGCTTTGTGCAAATTAGATCCACAAAGACTAACACCAGAAAATCAGGACAACTCATTCATTCTACGGGTAATTAGACCCGCTGTGAATGAGGTTTCTTTGAGTCATCGTCTCTGTGTACACCTGGTGACAGCTTGGCAACACTTTTGTTGTCACAGTAAAGCTCACAAAAAACAAATCTCCTCTTTGTTATGTTTTCATCCACTAAAGTTTGGATAACGATCAAAAGACACAAAGTTAGTGCTCCGCCTGGTTTAAATCAGTTAAAGATCATGATAGTTCGAACACATATTTCCGATTTGTGCCTTTAGCTCAGGCTTCAGAACTCTCGGCAGCTGACCGGTGAAATATTTGACCCCATAATGAACTTATGATTTTTCACTCCTTTTTTTAAATAAACTGACAGCCAAAAGTGAAATTGCTTTCTTAATTGCACAATTTGAGCACGACAGCTTTCACTGACCAAAGAGTTAATGGTTTTTGCAAATGGAAAATGTGATTCACAGCTAATTGGGGAGGCAGATGCATTTTACAGGCACGTGTCTTCCAGAGACGAATTTAAGGAGCATTTTCCCTCTTTCCTGTTGACATATCTCAAGGTTATCCATTTTTCATTTTATTACCTTTCTGCTTCTGCTACTGCTGATGCTACCTTAAATATAAATTCTTCAATAAATTTACACACATTTTCAAAACATTCACCTTTGTGCCTAAACACCGATGCATGGTTTCTGCTAATTTGTGAACTTGTGAAACTCAGAAAATTTAGGTCTGATTCAGACTGAGAGGCTTCTGTAGAAATTAGGACTTGGCAGATGATTTATTATAGGTTTATAAGCAGGAAGAGACCTGGTCTTGATGTATGTGGCATATCAGCGGGATGTGGTCAGAGGAATTGTGTTTCATCCTTTTATCAAGTGATCATGAGATGCAGATGGAATAGATTGGAAAAAAAATCACTTATCCCTGCAGCAATCATGCTTCTTAAATGAACAGTTGTGATCATAGCACTGTTATTTTAGTATATTGTCTTATCATGTATGAATGCTTTTCTCTTTGTCTACAGACTGTGAAACAAATTGTCCCTCTGTGATAATAAAAAAGACTTGAACTTGTGCCCAGTCGTGTGGAAAAGATGGTCTAAAAATGATGGCTGGAGGATTACCCAGTAACGTTTTCATAAAACCAACTAAGCATTTCATTCCATGGTGTAAAGCCATGTTGGTGTTAAAATGATTTATGACCTGATCCTTTTCTGACAAACATTCAGATTGACCACTTGGTTAAATTAACGCCTTTTTTCCCCCGAAGCCTGATATGAACCAAGTTCCACTAAAACATATCACTATTCTAATCATAACACAGGTTTTAGTGTTTCAGACATGCCCCAGATGAATAACTGCCTCTCACAGGATAAAAGGGATTTTCTGGCTATAACAAGTTGAAACAAGTTTGAAGAAAAAACAAACACAACAGGCTAATTTAGGCATCTTCCTTCGATTGCTTTGCTTTAGAGATGTGCCCAAACCAGGAGTTCATTCTAAGTTTTCTTTAGCATCAAAAATATTTCAGTTGTTTGCTTTTTTCATTCATTACTGTTTACTGTGGATAGACTTATATGTTTATTTGTAAACTGTCATTTTTTATTAACTATGAATTTATGTAAAATCATTAGTAAATTACTTTATTTAAAGTAATAATTGTAATGTTTTGAAGTGGGATTTTGTGATAAATTTTTAAATAATTATTCTCTTAACTGCTGCAGATAGCTTTTCAAACAGTCACAGTTTGGATATATAGCGTTTAATTCTGGCTAAACTGATGAGCTAAAGGCTAATCTGAGCAAAGGCAAGACCAAAGTGGAATGCTGCAATCTTGAACCACTCCAATATTGAAAAAAATATCCAGAAACATTGCTTCATAAACCATGGTAATATTGCAACACAATTATTAAAGCAAAAATAATATAATGACCCTTCAAGAAGTGCATTATGGCTGCAGCGGTACTTCAGCTAGCTGTTACATGGAATAAAAAAAATGTCTGAGAGTCTGATGGCAATGTAAAGGTTTCTAAAATAGCATTTCCAAAAAACTCCCATTAAACCATTTAGAACTAGGATTCTAAAAGGCACCTGTCTATTTACACACCTAAACAAATCAGATAAGAATGAAACTGTTCCTCCAAACTGAACAGTTAATATATAAAAGGTTTAATGTTTATAATCTTTTCGAAAGATCTAAATGATTGCTTTACGGAAGCAGACTCAACAATTTCTGAAAAGACTTAAACCCCTAAATTTGCAGTAACATTACTGTAGATTTGTGTTGGTGAAGCTGAGCTCCCACACAGCTATAAAGCAGCATGTCATCTTGATTTAAATTTAATTTACCACATTTCTATCTTGTGAGCCAGGATTATTAAGTGTAATCTAACCAAACCCAAAAAGTCTGTCTAGACACAACATGAGATGGAAGTACACTACCTGAACTAATTTGTATGGTGTTTGTTTAGACTTGCCTGAGGTGGAAGTGTTTACCAGGTATTACCAGCCTTTGAATGAACTCAAACAAATCAAGTCTTAAAATATAATGCACTTGTATAAAATGCACTTGTCTCAAAATTCTAATGCTTCAACCTGCTGCTGAGATTGAATCAAGAAATGCTAAAAATAAAGAAAAGCAAAGGTTGCTCTACTGAGTTAAGCTGCATATATGTTGCAGATTATACCATACCTGTCCATTTTGAACATGATGTGGAGAGCAGACTTCTCCCTGCTGCAGACCGGGCCGTGTGGTGCTGCAGAGCTCCAGGCAACCCTCCAATTCAACCAGATGTAAAAACCATCTTGCTCATCAGGGAATTCCCTCACCTCCCCCCCACCCCCACCCCGAGTCAGAGCGTAGGCTTTCCCCATCCCACCCCCCCCCACCCCCTTTGTTTGTCTGTCTGTCTCTCCATTTTCCCTGCCTCTAGCACTCATTCCATCTATGGAAAGCAGGGCAAG